TGCGCGCTTGCCGCCCAGTTACCATAGCACTAGAGTGGCCCTGATGTCAAGTGGCCAGTCGCTTGCTACATCTTTTAGTTCGGCTTCGACCGCGGCTCGGAGAACACACCCTTTGTGAGAAGTGTGCATTACTTGCTGTAACCTGTTCCATTTGTCTTGGTGGTGGCCGCCTTCTGCTTCCTCCATCAACACCACTTGTGCATGACGACGTTTCTGACCAGAGTGGACAACTCATCTGAAACGTTTGCCGGCGCAGATCCACCGCGCGCTCGGGACCTTCGCGGGTGCGCATATTTTCACTGCTGGCCACGATTGCGAACGTGTGGAGGGGAGCCGGGATTGAGACCAAGTTGATGAAGGTTGCTGTTCTCTTGTTCGACAAGGAGCTGGGTGCGCCTGATTTGATCACTAAACTTCCTGGCGGATGCTTGCGAGGTCGCTGAGGCAGCGTGGACGAGGTTGAGGGTGCCATCCTTAAGGTACCGTTGCACTTCCCTGCCCTTTTCAAGCACATCTCTGTGGACGCCAAGCGCAACAAGCGGGCTCGGCCAGCTGGGCCAGGAGCTGACGAGGACCAACAATATGGATATCAGCAGAAACAGTACCAAGAGAACGCCACGAATGCCGTGGCAAACCCGCTGGCCATGGCCATGCTGCGTGCATCGTTCGTCGCCAAGGTAAGTGCGCATATACAATTCACCATCTATCATGTTAGAGATTTGCTAGCGGGGGCATGGGGGGCAGGGGGCAAGAGAGAACCCCTAAACCAGAAAAATCCGTAACGCTAGAAACCATGTAGGAATGATGGATCAATTTGTTATATGCGTCGTTCTGCTGCCCTTTCCAAGGGACCCATGAGACATATCCTCCATTGGTTTCAAAAGCTGAAGGTAGCCACGAACCAGCGAGTCAAGCAGGCTGATGAACAAGGTCGTTTCTACTCGGGGCCCACATGTGCATCGAAACTAGTGACAAGCATGGCATCACACGCTCCATGAGATTTCTGATCTGCTCCGCGATGGCAGCATGGGGGGCAATGAAATGTTGGCTGGTGCACTTGCCTTACTACCGACTCCCGCTCACAAGCCACGCGTTCGGCCACGTATTGTCTCATCTGTGTTGGAGATGGCTTGCACGCGGTGGTTTCGGTGTTCTCTGAGATGTAGCTCTGTCCCTTTGAAGTTGTGGACCCTCGTTGACAAGAGCGCCACCGTTCCAGAAACACGTCGGGTGGAGCTTGCACGGAATATGTTGCAGATGACCGACAGAGACATGCAGTTGCAGTGGGACAACAGCAGCGCGAAGAAGATCCGCATACTATGCAGGAGCGAACTCCGATCCATGGCCGAGGACGGTCTACGCGACACAACGCTATACACCTGTGCGCTGATATGCAGGGCAGCGCTGCCTGGGGACACGCAGGACATTGAAGGTTTGAACAGCCAGCTGCAGTGGATTGTAAATCTCGCTCGCGCCATGGAGCAACCATCAACTGATGCACGCCGTTGCATCCGAAATGGGAGACTGGCAGACGCAGATTGGCTCGCACAGTTGCATGTTCGTACGTTGCACTTCATGGACACTGATACCCACCTCATGCGATATGCACCTGTGCCAGGTGGGACAGGCCCTGATGTTCTTGCGCCTCTTGCTTTTCCAAGCGAAGTAGAGATGGGTCACCTGTTGTCGGAGCTGTTCTCGACAAGTGCGAAACGACGAATAGATTGCTGATGTGAGGGGGTCGTCTTTGTTGATCACGTTCATCCAGGCGCCTTTACGATAATTGCATGGCCCTGCTATCCTCAAGTGCTCTGCGTATCAGCGGAGGCGAAACGAACGGGAGGCAGGTTGCTGCGCTGTATACATTGCCCGCTTCGGGCACATATGTGTTCGGACATATTGCGGATGGGCGCCGGCAGCTGCGCAGCTGGCCAGACACCCCATCACGCATCGGAAGATGGCACGAGAAGGCAATGGAACAAGACGCCCCACTTGGAAAGGGCGCTTGTTGAGCGGGAGACGCTGCTGCAAGGCAGCTAGGATATCACTGAAGCAACTGAATGCACGCTCGATGCGAAAGCCCCCGCCAGACCCCCCCGCCCGAGGGCGGCTGCGTCTGAGGCTGGTCACGGAGACCCAGCGCCAATGGCTGATGATGGAGGGGAACACCGCCGATATGCTGAAGACGACGACGGAGACGGCGCTAACCCCTTAGCCGAGATGCTCGAAGAAGTGGTTGAACAGCCATTTGGAGTGGACGATGGAGATGATGATGACCTCGCTCAGGAGGCCCGCCTACTTGGTGGTGATGGATTGGACGATCAGCCAGAAGACGATGGTGGCATGGGCGACGGAGCTGCATATTCTGATTTTGTTGAAGCTCACGCCCTGGTGGATGCCGGCACCTTTGCCTGGCGCAGCTACGCGAAGAGCCCCAGGCAGCGACAGATGAGCTGGCGAGCTGCAAGCTGCGCCTATCTGCGAGCTGGCGAACACGCAGAGCTGGAAGATAAGAACATATCTTGGACTGTGCATCGTGATCAGGCCATGCGGGTGATAGTGGTAGTCGTAGTAGTGGTAGTAGTGGTAGTAGTGCGGTGGGCGCATGGGAGCGCAGCCACGGGGGCCTTCGGTGGAGCTCCCTATGGGGCCACGAAACGTGTGAGGGGTGTGCCGAAATGGGTGCGGTGGGCGCATGGGAGCGCAGCCACTTCGGGAGCTCCCTATGGGGCGCTGGATGCGCAGCCACTGGGGCCTTCGGTGGAGCTCCCTATGGGGCCACGAAACGTGTGAGGGGTGTGCCGAAATGGCGGTGGGCGCATGGGAGCGCAGCCACTGGGGCCTTCGCTGGAGCTCCCTATGGGGCCACGAAACGTGTGAGGGGTGTGCCGAAATGGTGCGGTGGGCGCATGGGAGCGCAGCCACTGGGGCCTTCGCTGGAGCTCCCCATGGGACCACGAAACGTGTGAGGGTGTGCCGAAATGGGTGCGGTGGGCGCATGGGAGCGCAGCCACTGGGGCCTTCGCTGGAGCTCCCTATGGGGCCACGAAACGTGTGAGGGGTGTGCAGAAATGGGTGCGGTGGGCGCATGGGAGCGCAGCCACTGGGGCCTTCGGTGGAGCTCCCTATGGGGCCACGAAACGTGTGAGGGGTGTGCCGAAATCTGCGCGGTGGGCGCATGGGAGCGCAGCCACTGGGGCCTTCGCTGGAGCTCCCTATGGGGCCACGAAACGTATGAGGGGTGTGCCGAAATGGGTGCGGTGGGCGCATGGGAGCGCAGCCACTGGGGCCTTCGCTGGAGCTCCCTATGGGGCCACGAAACGTGTGAGGGGTGTGCCGAAATGGGTGCGGTGGGCGCATGGGAGCGCAGCCACTGGGGCCTTCGCTGGAGCTCCCTATGGGGCCACGAAACGTGTGAGGGGTGTGCCGAAATGGGTGCGGTGGGCGCATGGGAGCGCAGCCACTGGGGCCTTCGGTGGAGCTCCCTATGGGGCCACGAAACGTGTGAGGGGTGTGCCGAAGTGAGGCAGATGATGGTGATGATGATGATGGCAGGAGGGAGGGGGCAGCGGGAGGAGGAGTGAACGCGGGGCGCTGTCTCTTCAAAACGAGGACCCAACACCACAGGATGGTTGGGAATAAGGAGCACTGGATAATCTATACAAGGGCTAAGCAATGGATACGTTTAGACGTGTACGCGTAGACGGGGGGCGCAAACACGCAAATAAATAGATAGAGGTATATGGAAATGCATGTACGTATCAACATATAAGTGTTATTATATTTTAGTTACAGGAATTGGTATGAAGGGGTATTTCAACTGATACAAAAAGTAGGTGATACTAGCTATGAACTAAAAAATGCTTATTCGGAAGGGCGAATCAAGCTAAAAGAAGGAATCCTAGGTGGATAAAATGGGCCTTAGCTTTTGCGCTGGCCAAAGGAATCATCCTCCTCCTTCAAAGTTATGTCATACGCACCATCCTCCTCCTCCTCCTTCTCCTCTTCCTCCTCCCCCTCCTCCTCCTCCTCCTCCTCCTCCTCCTCCTCCTCATCATCATCATCATCATGTTCCTTTTCCTTTTCCTCCTCATCCTGCTCCTCCTCCTCCTCCTCCTCCTCCTCCTCCTCCTCCTTTTCCTCCCCCTCTTCCTCCTCCTCCTCTTCTTCCTCCTCCTCCTCCTCCTCCTCCTCTCCTCCCTTCTCCCCTTCCTCCTCCTCCTCCTCCTCCTCTTCCTCCTCCTCCTCCCCCCTCCTCCTCCTCCTCCTCTCTCCTCCTCCACCTGCTCCTCCTCCACGTCCTTCTCCTCCTCCTCCTTCCCCTCCTCGGCCTCCTCGTCCTCCTTCTCCTCCTCCTCCTCCTCCTCCTCCTCCTTCTCCTCCTCCTCCTCCTCCTCCTCTTCCTCCTCTTTCCTCCTCCACCTGCTCCTCCTCCACGTCCTTCTTCTCATCCTCCTTCCCCTCCTCCTCCTCGTCGTCCTCCTCCCCTCCTCCTCCTTTTCCTCCTCCTCCTCCTCCTCCTCCTCCTCCTCTCCTCCTCCTCCTCCTCCTCCTCCTCCTCCTCCTCCTCCTCCTCCTCCTCCTCAGCCCTTTGCTGACCGCTGTGCCGAGCGCCCCAACCAGCCCAGCGGGGTGACCCGCCACCGCCGTGCTCCTGGGCGGCCCGCCGCCCCCAGAGCCAGAGACGCGCCGGCGGCCGCAGCGGCGGCAGTGCCCGCTGGGCGCGGCGGCGCTGGCCGCAGCGGCGGCCGCGGCCGCCCTGGGCGGACGTTCGTCGAAGAAGAAGGAGCGGCATAAACATAAACATAAACTTTCGGCGCTGCGAGCATATCTCTTGGATCGGCGCGGGGCCCCCCTGGCGGCGCCATCGGCGCCAGCCCTGACGCGTTCCGCTCTCCAGGGAAGGGCTCCTCAGCGCAGATCCAAGAAGTCCGCGCGGACCCCCAAGAGGTCATGTTTATGCCGTTGCTTCCTCTAGTCCGGCGGCGTGCGCAGCCGCAATGCCAGCGGGCGGCGGCGTCGCCGTGGTCTGGTTCCGGAAGTGCTTGCGGGTTCACGACAACGCCGCGCTGTTGGAGGCGGGGAAGACAGCTGAGCACGTCTGCCCGGTCTTCGTGATCGACCCGCACTTCGGCCCCGGCAGCGTCGGCGTGAATCGCTACAATTTCTTGTTGGAGAGCCTCCAAGATCTCGACGCTCAGCTGCGCAAGCTGAAGAGCCGCCTTCTGGTGCTGCGGGGCAAGCCGGAGAAGGTCTTGAGCGACCTCGTGAAGACAGGCAAGCCACTAATGAAGGGCAAGCCCAGGATGGTGCTCTGGGAGAAGGATACAGAGCCCTACGCGCTCATGAGGGACTCTGCAGTGACCAAGGCCGCGGAGGCGAGCGGCGTGGAGGTCCGCACATTCTCGGGGCACACCCTGTACGATGTGGACGAGGCGCTGAGGAAGAACAAGGGGAAGGCGCCCTCGCAAATGCCAGGTATGGTGACGCTGGCGAAGGCACTGGGGGAGCCAGACCAGCCGCTGCCGGCACCCTCCAAGTTGCCTGGGCTTACCAAAGAGGCGTTGGCACGAAAGGATTTACGGGTGCCGACATTGAAGGAGATGGGCTACAAGGAGCTTGCCGAGCATTGCGGCTTCCACGGTGGGGAGACAGCGGGCCTCGCCAGGCTGGGCGCCAAGCTCAAGGACACATCTTACATACGCAGCTTCGTCAAGTCGCAGACGCAGTCCACAGCTTTCTCACCACCGTCGACTACGGTGTTATCACCTTACCTGAAGTTTGGCTGTGTCAGCGTGAGGCGGTTTTACCATGCGCTGAGGAAGATTGAGGCAGGCGGGAAGCATTCCGAGACGCCAGGGTCTCTGGTGGGCCAGCTCTACTTCCGTGAGATGGCCTACTTGATGGGCGCGTCAATTCCAAATTTTGATAGGCAAGCGGGGAACCCATCTTGCAAACCCATACCCTGGGGCAGTAGCTCGAAGCAGCTGGCGGCCTGGGAGAAGGGTCAGACTGGCTACCCCTACATTGATGCGGCTATGCGACAGCTGACTCGTGCAGGCTGGCTCCACCATCTCGCCCGCCACGCCGTGTCTTGTTTCCTCACGAGGGGCGACCTTTGGCAGCACTGGGAAAAGGGCCGAGACGTATTCGACAGGCTCCTCCTAGACTCCGACTGGGCCGTTAACAACATGAATTGGTTGGCGCTTTCAGGCGTGGCGCCTTGGTCGCCGCCGTTCTTTCGCGTTTATCACCCCGTGCCCAAGATGGATAGTTCATTGAACGTGCGAGACCCGGACGGAAAATATATCAAGGAATTCGTCCCGGAGTTGCGCAAAATGCCGAGCAAGTACATCTACGCTCCGTGGACGGCGCCGTTGGAGGTACAGAAGCAGGCCGGATGCATCATCGGCAAAGACTATCCTCATCCCATCGTGGACCACACCAAGGCCAGCACGGCGAATTTGGCTGCCTTCAAAAGGGCGCTCGATGCTTCCAAGAATGCCGCGCCTGCGCCTGCGCCGACGACAGGGGCGGGCGCCAGAAAGCGGGCAGCTGGCTCCGCCAGCGCGCCCGCGGCGAAGAGAGGCAGAGCGTGGAAGTGAGCGCTTGGCGCCCTGCCTGCCTGGCGGGCCCGAGCGGGGGCGTGCGGTAGCCAGAAGTCGAGGAACAAGTAACGACGTAGACATAAGCTTCTCGAGGTCCGCGCGCTGATTTCTTGGATCGGCGCTGGGCCCCCCGTCCCTGGCGCGCGGAGCGCGCCAGGGGCGGCGCCGGAGGCGCCGCCAGGGGGGGTTCCAGCGCCGACACAAGAAGCGGCGGCGAGCAAGGGGGGGAGTGAGAAGGAGAAGGCATGTTCACAAGGCGGCGGGGCTTCTCAGAAGCCCTCGCACCTTCTGAGAAGTTTTGTGTGTCTTAGGGAAAGACACAGAAAACCTGTCAGAAGGCCCGAGAACTTCCGAGCCTTCTACGAAACCCGGCCCCTTCTCACTTCCCCCCCAGGCTCGCCGCCAAAAGGAATCCGCGCGGAGCTCCAAAAGATTATGTTTGAGCCGTTCCTGATCCTCCAGTGCGGTAGCCAGGAGCCGGGCAAAGCGCGGAGGAGGTCAGGCGCCAGTGCAGCCCCTCGGTCGCCGCTGCACGCAGGGCGCCTGCGCGCCGCCAGCACAGCCCGCTTGAAAGGCTTGCATGCTGGGGGCCCGTCCGCATTTGAGCGACGCCAAACAACGGGGTCGTCTTCACCGACATTGGCGCGTAAGCTGCCCGAGTAAGGTCGCGCGTAAGCGCCCTCGTCTCCAATCTGGAGTGCCGCGCTAGCGGCCCGCGTAAACCGCGGCGTAAGTTCGTTTGTCATCTCGCGTAAGACCCATTTATTGTCGTCGCTCACTTGCTACCGTCGAGAATTCGGGTTTACTGGCCCACCTCGCTGCGGCGCGATACGCCAACCACTTTCCGGTCCCCGAGTGTCAGTATCTCGAGTTTTTCCCAGCATTCCGCTTGTAAGGCGTAGCGTGTCGCGACACCGTGTATCTATTGCGAAGGCCTTACGGCCGTTGCCGCCGACCCTGAAGATGACGAAAGACAACACGAGGGGGGGGCAGGAGGAGGAGGAGGAGGAGGAGGAGGCGGAAGGGAGTAGGAGGAGGAAGGGTGAAGGGGGAGGAGGAGGAGGCCTTATGGATGTTGGTTGGGATCTCGTGGTTGACCTCTCGGGGGCGTCTGGAAGGCAACTTGAAGCCTCTTGGGGGCCGTTGTGGGGCCTCTTGGGGCCTCTTTTGGGCCTCTTGGGGCTTCCGGAGGCCGTCTTCGGCGCATCTTGGGGGCGTCTTGGCGCCGCTCGGGGGCCTCTTGGGGCCTTTTGGGGGCCTCTTGGGGCTTCCCGGGGGCCTCTTAGGGCGGAAGTCTCGAATTCTCGGTTCCTCGTCCCCCTCTTGGCCGTTTCTTGGGCCCGTCTTGGGGCCCTATTGGGCCGTCTTGGGCGCCTCTTAGGCTGTCCTGGGGCCTTCTTGGGCCGTCTTGGGGCCCTCTTGTAGGCCTCTTGGGGCGCTCTTGGGGGCCTCTTGGGGGCCTCTTGGGCCATCTTGGAGTGTCGGAAAGCCGAAAAGGCGAGAAGGCCAAAATCATTAAAAAACCGATGTAAAATTTACGATTTTGGCGCCTGGGGCCCTCTTGGGTGTGCTCTTGGGGCTCTCTTGGAGCGTCTTGAGGGCCTCTTGGGCCGTCTTCGGGCCGTCTTGGGCGTCTTGGGGCCATCGTTCGTCGAGTCGAGGCCCTCTTGTACCCTTTTGGGGGTGTCTTCTGTCGCTCTTGGCTCGTCTTGAAGCTTTTCTGAGCTCCAGGACCCCCCGGAGAGGATGCGTATCTGGGTGGCGACCCCCCCCGGCGACCCCCCCGGCGACCCCCCCCGGCGACCCCCCCCCCCCACCCCCCCACCCTCCCCGGCGGGGAGGGTAGGGAGGGGCTTCGCCACGACTCAGCTACGACATTGCTCAATGTCGCTTTGGCTCGCGCGCTCAAGGAGACGGGGAACGACGAAGACGACGAGGGACAACGGAGACGGAGACGACGAGGACACGACGGAGACGACGACGACGACGACGACGACGACGACGACGACGACGACGACGACGACGACGACGACGACGGTGATCCACGCAAGACGACGACACCGGGATGCGTCTTCCACACGCCGACAGGGTCGGCGGATTTCGGCACGTTGCGCAGAATCATATCGCCGCAGGCTTTGCGGGCGCTTCCCTTGTGGCGCCTCGTCTTGCTCGTGCGCACCCGATTGGGGCTTGTTCTCAGCCAGAATCAGCCAGCCGCGCCCTTTTTCTCGCGCCTCTTAGGCACACACGCGCTCTCTTTTCGTGTCGGCGAGCGCGGAGCTTTCGTTGCAGCTCGAGCTGCATGTCCGCAAAGAACAATCCTCATCTTCGTCGTCGTCGTTGTAGTCGCCGTCGGCCTCGTCATCATCATGCGCAGCATCATCATCAGAAAAAGTTTTGGCTCGAGGACACGCCCACTCGTGCAGAGTCGCCTCTGCGAAAGCGAGCGATGACAGACTCCGATGACAAGCTTGCGCGGGTGCCGATTATTCAAAGTGATGATCCAGATGTAGAATCAGTGGCGTGGTTGCTCCTCACGATTGCTCCACACTGCTGCGCCACTGCAGGTGAGGCCAGAAAGCAGAGGTGGTTGCTCCGCACTGCCCAGAGCTTAGTAGCAATTTGCCTGTACGCAGCGAGCATGTGGATACAACAATTGACGCAGCAGGTCTGGTTAGACTTCGCGCTAGTGTTCATCTTCATACCACCTTGCATCACGGAATGGTGCCGGTGACTACTACAACAACTTCCTAGAGCAATTCACGGAGTTGCCGCAGCACTTGCGAGACATTCGCCGCCGTTTCGCAAATGATGGAGATTACCAGGAGAACATCGAGCGCGAGCGTGAGAGTGGCACGGTTAGGACTGTTAACGCTGTGGAGTCGGGCATATTGCTCTTCGGTGTTAAGGAGGGAAGCTTGCTCCTCGCCGCTACGGCTCTCGGCTGACACCGCGGCCTGCCACACATGGATCGTGCTTGCGGCCGCGTGTGGCTTGCTCTTGAGGCAGTTGCGTTTTGCGTTGTTCACCGAACAGTGGGCGCGAACGTCTTCGGGGGCAGCTACGGGGGGCTCATCCAGCCAGAAGGAATGTGGAAGCTCTCCAGTGTGAGGGACCTTGGGACAGGCAAGGTCACTTGCACCGCGATCCCCCTGGAACGGCACCCAGACCCTTCGTACTGATAGCTTACATGGAGAGTTTGAAGTTCATTCCAAGCTCACGCGCACACCGTGAAGTGAGTGTCAGAATGCAGGGCGTGGATTGCTTGCATTGCAGAGCCATGGTTCCAGACGGCGTCGTCATCTATGATAGCTTGCGCAGCGTGAAAATAACGCGTCAACAGTGACGACCTCGGAGAGTCGGTCAAGGCAGAATTACAAAAGCATGTGGGAACGCATCGGCATGACATAATCTCCTGCCCGAGCTCCGCTCCCATCTTCCTGGACGGGCAGGCAGATGCATGATGCCCATGACTGCTGGGTTAAAGGCTCTTTCAGTTGTTGTGGCATGTGCGGCTTCTGACCGCAGAGGACTTCGAGACTAATTCTAGACGCTTCGCGTAACCCCACCAGGTCCGTAGCCCCCTCTGGCTCAGCAGGGGTTGCAGAGAGCGCGATGCACTCTGTGCGAACATGGACCTTTTCACGGAGCATGCTATAGGGGTTCGCCTGCGCCGCGGCGGCCGCCTGGCCTGCTGGCCGCACCGCTGTGGCTTCATCTTCAGCATCGGCTACGTGGCGTTGGCAGGGCGGTAGTATAGACGCCAGAAGACTCGAGGCCATCTCTACGACGGCTGGAGCTACGACAACCGAGACCACGACAAGCCCAACCAATTACGTTTTGTTGGCACTTGGCGAGACGTGTGCGTCCGAGGGATACGAGGAGATCTCAGATCCGGCGGAGTGTTTCAATGAGGCAACTCGTAGCATCGAGGAGATCGCGGATGTTGACACTGAGGACATAAGTGGCCCGTTCTCTTGTGTGTTTCAGTACGGGAAGCTTTGGTTCGGCGACGGAGTTACACAATCACAGACCTCCACCACAACTGCAAGTACGACATCCGAGACATCCAGCACGACAGTGTCCTCCACGTCTGTATCTACCATGTCTGGAAGCTCGTCGACCACTGGGAGTACGACATCCGAGACCTCCACCAAGAGCGTGTCAACGAGCTCAGAGACCTCAAGGACGACTCTGACTACGACATCCAAGACTTCGAGCACGACCGTGTCTTCCAGCGCCACGTCCAAGACCAGTACCGCGACGGTGTCTTCGAGCACGACCGTTTCTTCGACGTCGGGAACCTCGACTACGACCACTGCGAGCACGACATCCGAGACCACTGCGAGTACGACACTGACTTCCATTTCGGGCAGCTCCACCACAACTGCGACGACTACGCCGCATTACGTCTTGCTGGGAGTTGGCGAAACGTGCGCGTCGCAGGGGTATGAAGAGATCGGAGACTCGACTGAGTGCTTCGAGGATGCGAAGGACAGAGTTACGGAGCTCAACAGCGTGGTGGAAACTCTGACAGAAAACAGCCCGTTTGCATGCGTGTTCCAGTACGGGGTGCTCTTCTTCGGCGACGGAAGCGCAGGCATTGCTGACGTCAGTAAGCAATATGTCTGCAAAGGGCCCGACCAGTTATCAACGACTACTACCGGGACGACATGGAGTGCGTCCGCGACAACAACCACCCAAAGATACGACCCTCAGAACGTCAAGTACCCAGACCTTTGCCACATATGGTATTTCCATGTCGTCAACGAGACGTCGACAGCGCGTCGCCAGGAGGCTTGCTTTACTGCAGCCGACTCAATGGTAAGCGTCGCAGCGTGGGGGCAGAGCTTCATAAGCGTGGATCCCGGGACAACTCTCGGAGGCTGTATCTTCACCCGCGGCGGTGATATCATCAATTTTTACGACAGGGATGCTCAAAATGCCTACGAGATTTGGCTCGACATTTGCGATGGCCTGACCACATCCACCGAGACGTCCATCACCACAGCGTCCGGCACATCAACAGTGTCGTCCACCACGTGGAGTTCAAGCAAGACCCTATCTTCGATCACAGAGACCTCCTCCACGACAATGTCCTCTACATCGACCAAGAGTACGACATCTCGGACTTTCACTACGACTGCGAGCACGACATCTGGGACCTCTTCCACGACATCGTCATCGGCAACCGCGACCTCGACGACGACATTGACTACGACATCCACGACATCCAGCTCGACAATGTCAACGACATCAGAGACCTCTATTACGACCAGGAGCACGGTATCCGAGACTTCTAGCACGACCATGTCTTCTAACACTTCGGTCACCTCTTCCACGACACTGTCATCGGCAACAGAGACCTCCGATACCTTAACGGTGTCTTCAAGCACGACCGTCTCGTCCACATCCCGAACCTCGACTTCAACTGTAAGTACGACATCCGCGACATCCACCACGACTGCGAGTACGGCGTCCAAGACCAGTACCACGACGGTGTCTTCAAGCACTTCCTTGTCTACTAGCACGTCATCCAAGACTTCGAGCACGACCGTGTCTTCCAGCGCCACGTCCAAGACCAGTACCGCGACGGTGTCTTCGAGCACGACCGTTTCTTCGACGTCGGGAACCTCGACTACGACCACTGCGAGCACGACATCCGAGACCACTGCGAGTACGACACTGACTTCCATTTCGGGCAGCTCCACCACAACTGCGACGATTACGCCGCATTACGTCTTGCTGGGAGTTGGCGAAACGTGCGCGTCGCAGGGGTATGAAGAGATCGGAGACTCGACTGAGTGCTTCGAGGATGCGAAGGACAGAGCTACGGAGCTCAACAGCGTGGTGGAAACTCTGACAGTAAACAGCCCGTTTGCATGCATGTTCCAGTACGGGGTGCTCTTCTTCGGCGACGGAAGCGCAGGCATTGCTGACGTCAGTAAGCAATATGTCTGCAAAGGGCCCGACCAGTTATCAACGACTACTACCGGGACGACATGGAGTGCGTCCGCGACAACAACCACCCAAAGATACGACCCTCAGAACGTCAAGTACCCAGACCTTTGCCACATATGGTATTTCCATGTCGTCAACGAGACGTCGACAGCGCGTCGCCAGGAGGCTTGCTTTACTGCAGCCGACTCAATGGTAAGCGTCGCAGCGTGGGGGCAGAGCTTCATAAGCGTGGATCCCGGGACAACTCTCGGAGGCTGTATCTTCACCCGCGGCGGTGATATCATCAATTTTTACGACAGGGATGCTCAAAATGCCTACGAGATTTGGCTCGACACTTGCGATGGCCTGACCAGATCAACCGAGACGTCCATCACCACAGCGTCCGGCACATCAACAGTGTCGTCCACCACGTGGAGTTCTTCCACTACGACTGCGAGTACGACATCTGAGACTTCTTCCACGACATTGTCATCGGCAACAGCGACCTCGACGACGACCAAGACCTCCAGCTCGACAATGTCAACGACCACGACAGTGTCAACGGAAACGGAGACGTCAGCGACATCGGGGACGTCTTCCACGACCGAGTCGTCGACAAGTGAGACCTCCAGTAAAACTTTGAGCACGACTTCTGGCACCTCATCGACTACAGGGACGTTCTGCACATCTGCGTCTACGACGTCCGTGACATCCAGCAGCACTGCGACTTCGACATCTGCTTCGTCTTCGACTACACACACGTTTGGCGTATACTTTCGCTTTGTCTGCAAAGGGGAACAGGCATCCTTCTCCCAGACGACCTCATCCACGGAGTCGTCCACGAGCACGGCTTCCAGCCAAACGGAGAGTTCCACCACGACTGCGAGCTCGTCATCCGATTCCTCTAGTACGACTGTGTCAACGAAAACAGATACGTCGACCAATACCGTGACCACGAAATCTGAGACATCTAGCATGACAAACACGCAAACGAGCATGTCGGACACCTCGACCAGAACCAAGACCTCCGACACGACTGCGACCAGCACCACTGCGACCAGTTCGAGTACCACACTGTCCACGACACTGTCAACGAAAACAGAGGCCTCAACCACGACTGCGAGCTCGTCATCCGATTCCTCTAGTACGACTGTGTCAACGAAAACAGATACGTCTACCAATACCGTGACCACGAAATCTGATACATCTAGCATGCCAAGCACACAAACAAGCATGTCGGACACCTCGACCAGAACCAAGACCTCCGACACGACTGCGACCATCACCACTGCGACCAGTTCGAGTACCACCACGACCTTCTTTTCGACCACGGAGACACTGTCCACGACACTGTCAACGAAAACAGGGGCCTCAACCACGACTGCGATGACGTCATCCGATTCCTCTAGTACGACTGTGTCAACGAAAACAGACACATCTACCAATACCGTGACCACGAAATCTGAGACATCTAGCATGACAAACACACAAACAAGCATGTCGGACACCTCGACCAGAACCAAGACCTCCGACACGACTGCGACCAGTTCCACTGCGACCAGTTCCAGTACCACCACAAGTAGCACCACTACGCCGCTTTACGTCGTAACGAGTTCCATGTGGTTTGAAAGCTCTGGTTCCGAAGAGGAGGTGACAATTGCGGTGACGTCTCACCTATTGAACTTCTATGATATAGCTGAGGAACAGTTGTTTGTAGCTGTCGTCGCTAACGCGTCCGCACCCTCGTCCAGGAGACTTTCCAGCTCGTATGGTGTCGACATTGAGATAGTCGCCCCCATCGATGCTGCCCAGCAAATCTTTAATGTGACAAACAGTATGTTCAATGATGCAGCTAATTTCACAACGTCTATGCAAGCCACTTTCCAGTCGCGCGGTATAAATTTGACTGCATCTTCTTTCGATATTGCACAACCAGAAATGAAGATTGTTACTGCCACCATGACAACCGTGAGTGCCACCCAGACCAGCGCAACGGCACCCAGCACCTCTCTGACGAGCAAGACCAGCTCGACCAGCAGCCCTGTGCCAACCGGAACAGGAACTTCTGTCACAACTCGGAGTGTGGCTTCCGAGACGGCAGGTGCCGTCAGTACAACACCGCCCGGAGACAGCACAGTTCAGGTGGGGACAATTGGTGACGCCATTACAACAGTGCCCGAGGAGTCGATCAGCTCCGTGGCGGAGACGACAGGTGCCGTCAGTACAACACCACCTGGAGACAGCACAGCTCAGGCGGGGACGACTGGCGACGCCGCAGCGCCCGGGGAGTCGACCACCCCGGTGGAGGAGACGACAGGTGCCGTCAGTACAGCACCACTCGGAGACAGCACAGTTCAGGTTGGGACGACTGGTGACGCCACTACGACAGTGCCCGAGGAGTCGATCAGCTCCGTGGCGGAGACGACAGGTGCCGTCAGTACAACACCACTCGGAGACAGCACAGTTCGGGTGGGGACGCCTGGTGACGCCACTACGACAGTGCCCGAGGAGTCGATCGGCTCCGTGGCGGAGACGACAGGTGCCGTCAGTACAACAACGCTCGGAGATAGCACAGCTCAGGCGGGGACGACTGGCGACGCCGCTACGACAGCGCCCGAGGAGTCGACCTTTTCCGTGGCGGAGACGACAGGTGCCGTCAGTACAACAACACCTGGAGACAGCACAGCTCAGGCGGGGACGGCTGACGACGCCGCTACGACAGCGCCCGAGGAGTCGACCTTTTCCGTGGCGGAGACGACAGGTGCCGTCAGTACAACAACGCTCGGAGACAGCACACTTCAGGTGGGGACGACTGGTGACGCCACTACGACAGTGCCCGAGGAGTCGACCTTTCCCGTGGAGGAGACGACAGGTGCCGTCAGTACAACAACGCTCGGAGACAAAACAGTTCAGGTGGGGACAATTGGTGACGCCACTACAACAGTGCCCGAGGAGTTGACCATCCCCGTGGAGGAGACGACAGGTGCCGTCAGTACAACACCACCTGGAGACAGCACAGCTCAGGCGGGGACGACTGGCGACGCCGCAGCGCCCGAGGAGTCGACCACCCCGGTGGAGGAGACGACAGGTGCCGTCAGTACAACACCGCTCGGAGACAGCACAGTTCAGGTTGGGACCACTACGACAGTGCCCGAGGAGTCGACCTTTCCCGTGGCGGAGACGACAGGTGCCGTCAGTGCAACACCATTCGGAGACAGCACAGCTCAGGCGGGAACGGCTGGCGACGCCGCTACTACAGCGCCCGAGGAGTCGACCACCCTGGTGGAGGAGACGACAGGTGCCGTCAGTACAACAACGCTCGGAGACAGCACAGTTCAGGTGGGGACGACTGGTGACGCTACTACGACAGTGCCCGAGGAGTCGATCAGCTCCGTGGCGGAGACGACAGGTGCCGTCAGTACAACAACACCTGGAGACAGCATAGCTCAGGAGGGGACGGCTGGCGACGCCGCTACGACAGCGTCCGAGGAGTCGACCCTGGTGGCGGAGACGGCAGGTGCCGTCAGTACAACAACGCTCGGAGACAGCACAGCTCAGGTGGGGACGACTGGCGACACCGCTACGACAGCGCCCGAGGAGTCGACCTTTTCCGTGGCGGAGACGACAGGTGCCGTCAGTACAACACCACCTGGAGACAGCACAGCTCAGGCGGGGACGGCTGGCGACGCCGCTACGACAGTGCCCGAGGAGTCGACAACCCTGGTGGCGGAGACGACAGGGGCCGTCAGTACAACGATTCTCGGAGACAGCACAGTTCAGGAGGGGACGACTGGTGACGCCACTACGATAGTGCCCGAGGAGTCGACCACCCTGGTGGCGGAGACGACAGGTGCCGTCAGTACAACGACTCTCGGAGACAGCATAGCTCAGGAGGGGACGACTGGTGGCGCCACTACGATAGTGTCCGAGGAGTCGACCTTTTCCGTGGCGGAGACGACAGGTGCCGTCAGTACAACACCGCTCGGAGACAGCACAGCTCAGGCGGGGACGGCTGGCGACGCCGCTACGACAGCGTCCGAGGAGTCGACCACCCTGGTGGCGGAGACGACAGGTGCCGTCAGTACAACACCACTCGGAGACAGCACAGCTCAGGCGTGGACGACTGGCGACACGACCGCGCCCGAGGAATCGACCACCCTGGTGGCGGAGACGACAGGTGCCATTAGTACAATACCACCGGGAGATGGCACTGAGACCAGCACAAGTGGCACCACTGACACGCAGAGCAGCACCAGCGCAACCAGCACCACTGTGACCAGCACTACTGCGTCATTCACGACTGTGAGCACCGCATCGACGACCTCAAGCACAACAGTATCAACGAAAACAGGGACTTCCAGCTCCACTGGCACCTCCAGCACGACAGTGCTAACTGGAACAGAAATTTCTGCCACAACTCGGAGTGTGACTTCCGAGACGTCGAGCAAGTCAGAGTCAACGACATCGGAGATTTCCACTACGACTGCAAGCACGACCTCCATGAGTGGCACGACTGCAAGTACGACTTCAGATACGTCTAGTTGGACGATCACATCGAGCACCTCTATTTCGACACTGTCAACGAAAACATTGACTTCATTCACGACTGTGAGCACCGCATCGAAGACCTCCAGCACAACAGTATCAACGAAAACAGGGACTTCCAGCTCCACTGGCACCTCCAGCACGACAGTGCTAACTGGAACAGAAACTTCTGCCACAACTCGGAGTGTGACTTCCGAGACGTCGAGCAAGTCAGAGTCAACGACATCGGAGATTTCCACTACGACTGCAAGCACGACCTCCATGAGTGGCACGACTGCAAGTACGACTTCAGATACGTCTAGTTGGACGGTCACATCGAGCACCTCTATTTCGACACTGTCAACGAAAACATTGACTTCATTCACGACTGTGAGCACCGCGTCGAAGACCTCCAGCACAACAGTATCAACGAAAACAGGGACTTCCAGCTCCACTGGCACCTCCAGCACGACAGTGCTAACCGGAACAGAAACTTCGGCCACAACTCGGAGTGTGACTTCCGAGACGTCGAGCAAGTCAGAGTCAACGACATCGGAGACTTCCACTACGACTGCAAGCACGACCTCCATGAGTGGCACGACTGCAAGTATGACTTCAGGTACATCTAGCAGGACGGTCACATCGAGCACACAGACGTCGAGCAAGTCAGTGTCAACGAACACTGAGTCTTACACCACGACTGCGACTAGGACATCCGGTACGTCTGCAACGACTTTGAGCACGTCATCCGAAACCTCAATTTCTAGCACGACTGGGACTACAATAACCGATACCTCCAGCACCACGGGGACCACCCAGAGTTCCACCACCACTGGGACCACGACAACCAAGACCTCTACCACGACGGTGTCTGCAACCACCGACAGCTCTACTACGACACTACTACGACAGGGACCTCGCCAACAAGGACCTCTACCAAGACGGGAACTACCACGTCCAAGTCTTCAAGAACGACTGTGTCTACAACCACTGAGTCCTCTACAACCACTGAGATTTCGACAAGCGAGACTTCCAGCAAGACCGGGACTATGACAAGCGAGACCTCCAGCGCGACAATGTCGTCCAGCACCTCGCTGACAATTAGTTCGGGCACCATTTCCACGACAATGTCATCGACAACAGAGACCTCTGGCACCACAACGGCGACTTCAAGCACGACTGCCTCGTCCACGTCTTGAACGTCGACCTCGACTGCAAGTACGTCATCCCTGACATCCAGCACGACTTCGAGTACGACGTCCGAGACCTCAAGTGCAAGCATATCCTCCACGTCTGTGACCGCGACTGCCACCATAGAGCGGTTCTCCGAGATCCGCAGTACCCTTCGGCTTACATTCGGCACCAACGTCTCCACAGCTGATGCTGCGGCCGCTGCACAGTGCGCCGTTGCGTCGTATCTGAACACGTCGGAGTCGCTGGTCGTCATCGACGCTGTAACCGTCAATCAAGCAGGCGTATCTCGCAGCGGACGGGGTGCGAGAGCACTGAGCAGCCTCGCATACGAAATTGCTTACATTCTGTTGGTAGGGGGATCCGACATTGAGAGGCAGGAAGCACGCTTGACTGAGCTGTTCCACGATACCAGCGCCATCGCTTCGACACTCCAGGTGGTGGTCGCGCAAATGGGTCTGCTTACTATAACATCCGTAGTTGCAACCATGCCAGAAATTCGCTTGTGGTCTCCACCGACGGCAACACATACGTCAACGACGGATCTTGCCACGAGCCTCCCAGAGCTTCCGATGGGCGCGTGCGTCGGTGGCCCAGATTTGCCGATCGGGTATGAGTTCTGGGATCCGGGCTGCGTGAATATGAGCTACCTGGACGTGTGTAATATCTCATGCTCCGACGGTTACGAACATCTGGGGGGCCCAGTCCAGATCGACTGCTCTGCCACAGCGGGTTACAGCTGGGTCAACGGCTCGGGAGCTTGCACCGAGAAGTCATGCTACGCGACTCGGTGCCAGACATGTGGGGTGTGGCCAGTGCTTCTTCTTGCGTCGGCACTGCAAGCGGCACAAGCTGCTCGCCAGTATGCAACGGTTCGTACGAACTGATCGAGCCAATGAAGTGCAACAAGGGTCACTTCGACGAGCTGCCATTGATGTGTGTACCCTCCAACCACGCAGAGACGCTCGAGGTCGTGGATACATTTCTCATTGAGATGACAATCGCCACCAACGAGTCCCAGTCGGGCTTCACCGCCGAGTGGGCCAGAAGTGCGGGAGGCGAGGCTGCACTCAAGAGCTCGATCGGCAAAACCTTAGGCCTGCTTCAGGGGCAGATCTTCCTGAAAGGGAAGGAGGACCTGACCTCCGACTGGGGCCGTGCCGTGCCAGCGCGACGCCTCACGACATCGCAGGGGCTGTTCTTCGAGGTCGTGCTCCAGCCGTACCCGATTGACAACGTGACGGACCTGGAGCATCGCATCCTCGCCCTGGGCGGGGGCAACTTTACCCACGAGCTCGACGCGGCCCTAAGAAGCTCCGGAACCAGCGCCCTGCCTGGCCTCGCCGCGGCCACGATCGTCGTCGGGGCGCCCGCGCAGGTCAGCTTCACCCTTCCCGTGGCGCGAGGGGTCGCCCTCGGCGACTGGGCGTTGTGCCGCAATCTCTGCGGCCCGGGCGTGCGCACCCGCCCTGTGGAGTGCCTAGGCGCGTGGGGGGGCGACGCCGTCGACCTGTGCAACGCCAACGCCGCCCCAGGATTCACCATGGAGTCGTACATGCCCGCCTCCGAGCCCTGCGAGCAGTACATATCGTGCGCCTACGACTGGAGCTGCCCCGGCGGCCCAGATCCCGTGACGGGCGAGGGCTGCGAGGCGCAGGCATCGGGCGTGGCAGTTGCGCTCTCTGTCACGCTCCTTTGCTGTGTTTGCCTGCTGTGCCGATTGGCTCGGAGAAGGTACAAAATATCGATGCTGGCAAACATACTGTGGACGAGGGAAGGAGGAATCGACGACGGCGGCGGGAATCTTCGACAGACGAGCGATACAGCTCCAACGGCAGCTACGAACGACATGGGTTCGGTAACCAGCACTTCCAACGAGTTCTTCCACAAGGGGCAGACGGTGGATTATTGGTCGGGCGCCACAAAGACATGGCTGCCAGCCGAGATCCTCGATGTTAGGGACGCCAGCTACGACATACGGGTTGGGGCTGCCGAGCAGACAGTGCACGGCGTGAACGTGAAGGACCTGCGCGTGCCATTCGACGAAGTCGACTCGGCGAGCGCGCACGAGGTTCCTCCCCCCACACGGACTACATCCAGCGCCGCAGGGACACCAGAGTGTGCTACCACGGACGATGGGCCGGCGGCCGAGGAACGCTTCACGGTCTGATTTTTTTGTTCGGTGTCCGAGACTTCTGTCTTGCATGACGTAGCGCGCGCCCTGCGCTGTGTATGGTACATTGTGCACGACGGCCTGGATGCACTTCCGTATTACCGCTCTCACATTTTTCTCTCGGCGCTTATTCGGTAGAGGGTACCACATGCATACTACGGCGCCCGGACAAAAAGTGTCCACACCCATCGCGCTAAGATGATACGACATCGAGTTCACTCGAACAAATATCCGTAGCCCCCGCCCCCCCAAACTCAAAGTTGGCGGGGTTAGCTGCGAGGCAACGCGCGAGGGACAAAATGTGGACACTTCAACTTTGAATTTTGGGGGGGAGGGGGGCGAGTCAAATGTATATTGCAATTGTTGTTGCCATCATGTCTGACTGCCTTCTCGCCGTCGGTGTGGACACTTTTTGTCCGGGCACCGTCTGGGTAAGCAGGTTTTTATTGTTTCATGGATGTGGGTATATGAATTTATGTTGATGTTGTCCTAGTTTATGTTAGAACATGTCGAAGGTGTGATTTGTTATTGGAGTTGATGATCGATATGCCGAAGTTGTTTTGTATAGTGACGCTTCGTATACGTTGACCGTTCAAAGACTTGTAATCATTTTGGAGTTTACCTAGGATGTCGTTCTCTTACCCAGTAATGCATGTGCTGTCTCTGGGCGTCCTCCGCAAGCCATGCTACCTCTCGCCGCGACTCCGCCGAGATGGCGAGGTCGCAGATGGCACCGAGGCCCCCGTCAGGTGGCGACTGCTTCCCCCGCGCGCCGGGGGCGCGGCCCCCGCGCGGCGCCCCTCCTCCGCCATGGTGCCCAATGAGCGCGCGCGCCCCCCGTCGCCGGAGTCAGCGCCTGCGGGCGCTGCCTGCGCCTGCGGCGCGCCCTGGGCCGACGTGGCTACGGGAAAGACACGGGAAGGGTCCACTGCGCGCACCTGGCAAACCTTGCTCACCTGGCGCACGCGTCGCACCTGGCGGGGACTGGGTCGGTGCTCCTGGAATGTTGAAATATGTGATGCTCCAGGCGTCAGGATGACGTGAGTCCACGACTTGCCCGGGAATGCCGTAAAACTTGTACAACTTGTAAAACTTATGCGTAAAACTTGCTGGCAAAATACGCAAAGTTCGTAAAACTTGTCAGAAAGAAATCTTTTTGTATATTGAAAAGCTTCTTTTCTATACGTTTTACAAGTTTTACGTATTTCCCCAATAAGTTTTAAGCGCAAGTTGTACAAGTCGTACAAGTTTTAAGCGTTTCCCCGATGCGGCGCAACTGGTCATCGCGCGGCGCCCCCCCCCTCCCCCCACCAGGGGTCGGGCGGACCGCGCGAGAGCGGCTGCCCCATCGTCCTCGGTTCGTCCTTGGAGACGGGCGTGGCGGGCGCGCCTGGCGAACTTGGAGCGCGGCGTGCACCTGGCAAACCTTGCTCACCTGGCGCACGCGGCGCACCTGGCAGGGACTGGGGCGGTGCACCTGGGATGTTGGAATTTATGATGCTCCAGGCGTCCGGATGACACATGTGCACGAACTAACTCCCTCACATGACAATGGTGGTGGCATCGGCGTTGTCGATGGTGATGTTGGAGGCGCATGTGGTGACGATGAAGTTGGCGTGCGGGAGTCGTTCCGTAATAGTGGTGGTCACCACATTCCGAACTTCTTGAAAAACCAGCGCGCCCTTGGACAGACGACGCGCCCTGGCAGGCCCGCGCCCTCCTTCCCTTTGCGTGGGGAAGTGCATGGAGCTGGTGCAACTGGCACAACCAGTTCTTTGCCGGACCTGATTTTTGGTTAGCAGTTCGTGGACCAAGTGCATGGCCAGTTCTACGACCAGTTCTGTCCAATTGTACCAGTTCTGCGCAAGCAGAGGCATGCGACGGGGGCGCAGCGCCCTGGCTCACTCCTCGAAGTCCGCGCCCTTCTCGGCCAGCAACGCGGTGCAGCGCCGCTTCATGGACTTCGCCAGTGGCTCAAGTGTGGCCGAGGGGGCCCGCATGATGGTGCGCTTCAGGCGCCGAATGGAGGCGGCCCTGCTCTCCCTCTTGGACGGCGGGAACTTCGCCTCCTGGCCCCGCAGGCGCTCGTTGATCATGGACCAGAAGCCGTAGTCAAGGGGGTTGAGGTCCGGGCTGCGCTTGGGGAAGGGAATGCACTTCACTTTCTCATTCGCCTGAAGGCAGCCCGCGCCCGCCCAGCAGGACCGCCCCCCTGAGCGCGCCTTCGCCGAGCCGCGGGGCCAGCGGGCCCGCGGCTTCGAAGGAGGCGCGCCCAAGATGGAGCCGCCGATTGGACCCGAGAAAGCCTGGAGACGGCCAATGAGGGCCCCAAGACAGCCAGGAGGGCCCTCAGAGACCCACAAGAATGCTACAAAGAGGACGTCTGGGTAAGCAGGTTTGTATTGTTTCATGGATGTGGGTATATGAAGTTATGTTGATGTTATCTTAGTTTATGTTAGGTCATGTCGATGGTGTGATCTGTTGTTGGATTTGATGCTAGATATGCCGAAATTGTTTTGTATAGTGACGCTTCGTATACGTTGACCGTTCAAAGACTTGTAATCATGTTGGAGTTTACCTAGGATGTCGTTCTCTTACCCAGTAATGCATGTGCTCTCTCTGGGCGTCCTCCGCAAGCCATGCTACCTCTCGCCGCGACTCCGCCGAGATGGCGGGGTCGCAGATGGCACCGAGGCCCCCGTCAGGTGGCGACTGCTCCCCCCGCGCGCCGGGCGCGCGGCCCCCGCGCGGCGCCCCTCCTCCGCCATGGTGCCCAATGAGCGCGCGCGCCCCCCGTCGCCGGAGTCAGCGCCTGCGGGCGCTGCCTGCGCCTGCGGCGCGCCCTGGGCCGACGTGGCTACGGGAAAGACGCGGGAAGGGTCCACTGCGCGCACTTGGCAAACCTTGCTCACCTGGCGCACGCGTCGCACCTGGCGGGGACTGGGTCGGTGCTCCTGGAATGTTGAAATATGTGAAGGCTCCAGGCGTCAGGATGACGTGAGTCCACGACCTGCGCGGGAATGCCGTAAAACTTGTACAACTTGTAAAACTTACGCGTAGAACTTGCTGGCAAAATACGCACAACTCGTAAAACTTGTCAGAAAGAAATCTTCTTGTATATTGGAAAGCTTCTTTTCTTATACGTTTTACAAGTTTTACGTATTTCCCCCATGAATTTTCAGCGCAAGTTGTACAAGTTGTTCAAGTTTTAAGCGTTTCCCCGATGCGGCGCAACTGGTCATCGCGCGGCGCCCCCCCCCCCCCCTCCCCCCACCAGGGGTCGGGCGGACCGCGCGAGAGCGGCTGCCCCATCGTCCTCGGGTCGTCCTTGGAGACGGGCGTGGCGGGCGCGCCTGGCGAACTTGGAGCACGGCGCGCACCTGGCAAACCTTGCTCACCTGGCGCACGCGGCGCACCTGGCAGGGACTGGGGCGGTGCACCTGGGATGTTGGAATTTATGATGCCCCAGGCGTCCGGATGACACATGTGCACGAAACTAACTCCCTCACATGACTGGTGGTGGCATCGGCGTTGTCGATGGTGATGCTGGAGGCGCATGTGTTGACGATGAAGTTGGCGTGCGGGAGTCGTTCCGTAATAGCGGTGGTCACCACATTCCGAGCTTCTTGAAAAAACCGCGCGCCCTTGGACAGACGACGCGCCCTGGCAGGCCCGCGCCCCCCTTCCCTTTGCGTGGAGAAGTGCATGGAGCTGGTGCAACTGACACAACCAGTTCTTTGCCGGACCTGATTTTTGGTTAGCAGTTCGTGGACCAAGTGCATGGCCAGTTCTACGACCAGTTCTGTCCAATTGTACCAGTTCTGCGCAAGCAGAGGCATGCGACGGGGGCGCAGCGCCCTGGCTCACTCCTCGAAGTCCGCGCCCTTCGCGGCCAGCAACGCGGTGCAGCGCCGCTTCATGGACTTCGCCAGTGGCTCAAGTGTGGCCGAGGGGGCCCGCATGATGGTGCGCTTCAGGCGCCGAATGGAGGCGGCCCTGCTCTCCCTCTTGGACGGCGGGAACTTCGCCTCCTGGCCCCGCAGGCGCTCGTGGATCATGGACCAGAAGCCGTAGTCAAGGGGGTTGAGGTCCGGGCTGCGCTTGGGGAAGGGAATGCACTTCACCTTCTCCTTCGCCTGAAGGCAGCCCGCGCCCGCCCAGCAGGACCGCCCCCCTGAGCGCGCCTTCGCCGAGCCGCGGGGCCAGCGGGCCCGTGGCTTCGAAGGAGGCGCGCCCAAGATGGAGCCGCCGATTGGACCCGAGGAAGCCCGGAGACGGCCAATGAGGGCCCCAAGACAGCCGGGAGGGCCCTCAGAGACCCACAAGAATGTTACAAAAGAGAACATCCTAGGTAAACTCCAAAATGATTACAAGTCTTTTGAACGGTCAACGTTTACGAAGCGTCACTATACAAAACAACATCGGCATATCTAGCATCAAATCCAACAACAGATCACACCATCGACATGACCTAACATAACCTAGGATAACACCAACATACATTCATATACCCACATCCATGAAACAATACAAACCTGTTTACGGGCGCACGCGTCGCACCTGGCGGGGACTGGGTCGGTGCTCCTGGAATGTTGAAATATGTGATGCTCCAGGCGTCAGGATGACGTGAGTCCACGACCTGCGCGGGAATGCCGTAAAACTTGTACAACTTGTAAAACTTATGCGTAAAACTTGTTGGCAAAATACGTAAAACTCGTAGAACTCGTCAGAAAGATTTTTTTTGCATATTGAAAAGCTTTTTTCCTTATGCGTTTTACAAGTTTTACGTATTTCCCCCATAAGTTTTAAGCGCAAGTTGTACAAGGTGCACAAGTTTGAAGCGTTCCCCCGATGCGGCGCAACTGGTCATCGCGCGGCCCCCCCCCCTCCCCCCACCAGGGGTCGGGCGGACCGCGCGAGAGCGGCTGCCCCATCGTCCTCGGGTCGTCCTTGGAGACGGGCGTGGCGGGCGCGCCTGGCGAACTTGGAGCACGGCG